TGATTAAAATATAAAATTGTCTTCAATCAAATTATAAAAATCCATTTTGTAAAATTAAAAATTAAAAACATTGATAAACAAACCTGGGGAAACAGAAATGGACCAAGAGTGAAAAATAAAATTAGTGTTCAAATTAAACTCTCCTTTTACCTGGAAAGAGTATAGGTCTTCTAAGTTTGACTGTAACTGTGTTTCAATAAAATCTTGAGCAAGTGTTGAAACTGTACCCTATTCAAAATGTAAAACCAATTTTCCTGATATTCACCGGAACACACAAGATTATCAATCAAATGCTGGCCAATGGCAGAATCTAAAGCCAATTACATCATTCTTGTTGAAATATGCAACTCCTCTGAATCTTATATTGGCTGGAACATGTTTAATTCTCATAAGCACATGTAGACTGGTTCAACCTACACAATCGTCATCAAACTGACGCTTAAAATAGTACATAACAGAGCTATTTGAAAATGGCTGAACCTTGTCCTGTTGAAAAGAAGGAAAAATCATATGATAGAAAAACCTGTGTATCTATATATATATTCATACATGCATATATATGAAATAAATATATATATGTATAAAAAATATATATGTAAAATATATATATATCTATAATATATATATATATCTATAATATATATATATATCTATAATATATATATATCTATATATATATATATATATATAATATATATATATATATATATATATATATTTAATTTCAATAAAGGTGCAATCAATTTACAAATTCATGAATTATTCATACAAAACAAATACAAAAGGTTAATGATTTAATTGTGGCGAGAAATCCATAAATGCGAACAATTCAAATAAATACAAAACCCCGAACCTTTCATTCATAACAGGTTCGGGGTTTTTGTATATTATTTGAATTGTTCAAGACGATGGATTTCTCGCCAATTAAATAATTAACCTTTTGTATTTGTTTTTGTATGAATAATTCATGAATTTGTGTATATATATATATATATATATATATATATATATATATATATATATATATATATATAAATATATATAAAATATATATATCTATGTAAAATATATAAAATAAATATATATATATTTAAAGATATATTTAGTGGTGCAAAATTTTATCACTGCCATAAACAGACAAAAATTAGTTTTATTATTACCACTCATGATAATAAAAAGTAAGAATGAAAAACGGGCTAGCTAACCGGTTTCGTACCTCACTCAACTGACCTAAATTGAGGTAAATAAAGTAAAGAACAATGGACAAAGTGTATTGGGGAAAAGAAAAAAAAGAAGAAATTTAAATGGTAATTAGTTGGACGCCTGATACAAAGATATTTGCTAAGATGGGCCCCAAAGAGGAACCCATCGAAACCTCATCAATCTGCCTGTACATGATGCCATCAAAACTGAACTCAACTGACATCATGGCAAATTTTATCAGTTCAACAAACATGTCCTCTGGAATAACAGGCAGAGACAATTGACTACGATACAGGGCATCAGCACATATATCAATAGTCTCAGCAAGTGGAACGCAAGTAAATAAACTGGCGATATCATATGAACACATAGGCGAATAACGCTGTATAAAATGGGAGAATTCAAATGAATCTTTAATACAAGCAGAGTTATATTGCTTCAAAACCGGTTGTAGTATAGTGGAAAGCCATTTAGCCACAGTGTTGAGAAGATCCTATCATAGATAGAATAGGTCTCAATGGTGTTCCAACTTTATGAGTTTTGGATAAGCCATAGAGACAAGGATGAATGGAGCCTGAGGGTCTAATTAAATTTGAAATATCAGCGGGCAATTTTCCACTTTTTACCCACTTAACCAGACGTTTTTGGAACTTGGCCTCAATAGATAATGGAGAATCAAATTTATCTATTGGGCCTAACCGGACAAATTTAGAGGAATCCCCAAGAATTGTCATCATCTTGTTAACATAATCCTGATAGTCAAGGGTAATGACACCAGTACCTTTGTCGGGTTTCATAATTGCTAAAGATTTATTATTATGAAGTGTTTTAATTACCCAAATTGCTCCTCGTTCCACTTGGATTCAATATGTGAAACAGGAGTACCTGCGTAACAATGTGCTATATTCAATTTTGTCTTGAGGTTGCTGACTTTACTAGCAGATTCAGGTTGGAGTTTAGCTAGCTGCGCAAACACAACCTCTAACTCCGAATACACCTCCTCTCAATATGTGAGGGAAGAACACAAAAATCTAGTCTGTGCGAGAGGATTTATAATTCAAGCTCAGGCAACTGGTATGAAGACAGATTCAAGACATTTTGACCAATATTAGGATTAGCACAACATCCAAATTTTTTATAAATCAAATGTTGCAACTTATTCTGATGTTTAATCTTAAGTCGAGAACGACTACGTTCGTGAATAAGTGCTGCATAACGGAAAACGAATCCTGTCAAAATAGGAAAGTATGCCCATTGTAATACTCTCTATAATTGATAATATTTCTTATACAAATTGGCAAGACTATAAGAAAGCTTAGATATAAAATTAGTAATAAATGCTTCCTCAATTTTCTGTCCTGGATGTAAATTGGTCCTTTTACTAAAGGAAATAAAAGGGGGACAGACTTTATTAGTCAAGCACAAATGAAGAAAAGATTTGTTAGCAGCGGTAGTTCTAATTTTACTTTTAACTTTTAACAAAGAATTCAATCCACTGATTAAATAAGGTGAGTACCTTGTCTTAAATAATTTAAAGATATGTTTAGTAGTACAAAATTTTATCACTAACATAAACAGACAAAAATTAGTTTTATCATTACCACTCATGATAATAAAAAGTAAAAATGAAAAACGGGCTAGCTAACCAGTACCTCACTCAACAGAGCTAAATCGAGGTAAATAAAGTCAATTATATAAAAAGAACAATGGACAAAGTGTATTGGGGGGTAGGGGAGAGGAAAAAAATTAAACGGTAATTATTTGGAGGCCTAATACAAAGTCCTTCTGTTTAAATAGAGAAGGCTTTAATGATAGAATATAGATGGCCTCCAACACTTTTATGGTAATTAAAGTGGGACCTGCTAAAGATGGTAAAAGCGTTACCACTAAAACTAATAGAACAATTATGGCTATTTATTTATATAATATATATATATATATATATATGTGTGTGTGTGTGTGTGTATATATATATATATATATATATATATATATATATATATATATATATATATATATATATATATATATATATATATATATATATATACATATATTTATACCTATATATATGTATATATATATATATATATTTATACATATATATATATAAATATGTACATATATATATATATATATATAAATATGTTCATGTATAAAATATATATATATATAAATATGTACATGCATAAATATATATATATGTATAAATATGTACATATAATATATATATATATATATATATATATATATATATATATATATATATATATATATATATAAATATATATAAATATATATATATATATAAATATGTACATATATATATATATATATGTACATGTATAAATATAAAAATATATATATATATATAAATATGTACATGTATAAATATAAAATATATATATATATATATATATATATATATATATATATGAATATAATATATATATATATATAAACATGTAGATAAATAAATATATATATATATAAACATGTACATGTATAAATATATATATATATATATGTTATAAATTAATTGATTTAAAATATGTTTTTTTCTGCTACACAGTTCTAACCATTAAAATTACTGGGTTTTAAAACACACAGCTAAAATCATAATTATAATTTTAAAAAGCTACTCTAAAATTCGCTTGAGGATGAAATGGAACTAATAGCTTTAATTTAATTACAAAATTAAATTCTGAGCTTTTAGCTTCCATTTTTGAAACATGGTTAGAACTGTGTAGTGGAAAAAACCATATTTTAAATCAATTAATTTATAATATTAATGCTCTGTAAATTTACATTGAGCACTATTTTGTAAAAATAAAATATCTATAAGAACACCGGATTATATATCTTACTGTTCTTTTCTTTTTATATATATATATATATAAATAAACATGTATGAATATAATATATATATATATATATATAAAATATATATACATGTATAAATATATATATATATATATATATATATATATATATATATATATATATATATATATATATATAATAAAATATATATTATGAAATGGACTAAGTCCAACAATTATTTTAATATATTTTCTGTTTATACATTATTTTTATAGATACAAATATTTAAGTAAATGCTCTGTTTATAATAAACTATATTTACAACATTTACCAGCCTAAATGTTTGAGAAATTTCATAGAACATCATGGGAAATTTGTAGTTTAAAAACAGTAATTTCACCTTGCTAACTAGATGCTTCCTCTGTCGCTAAATGGTATGAAATCAGGCTATATGATGATTCCATGTAGGATACAGGTTTGATTCCTGTCAGAGGACACATATTTTCTATTGTAAGCTTGGATGTGCAGGCGGTGTAATGGAAAATGGCTTGGAATTGTTAATTGGAGAGCCGAGTTCCAATTCCAGTCACATGTGTTATAAGCACACCTCTTCTCCCCCATAACTATGGTTTAATTAGTAGTACTTTTATCAGTAAATCATTATTATATTTAAAAAATTATTACAATGTAAAAACAATTTTCTGGTTTTAAATAATCTACAAAAGATTCATAAGCCATAAGAAATAAATCAATCAACCAATAGTTATATATATATATGCAAAATTGGAATAAATATGGTCCAGTGATTAAATCCTAAAATGATAACATCTGTGACATCAGATTAATATGAAGATTGATTGAAATAATTTGAGAAATGACAGTTATCAATTTCAAGTGATTTGTATATAAACGTGTGAGAATAATCTGCCATGATTCACAATATGGACAAACTTCAAGCATTTTATGCAATTTTAATGCTGTGCTATCTTGTCAAGGTAAGTTGAAAGATTCTTTTTTTTTTTGTTTAAAGTTCTTCTTCTATGTGCCACATCCCTTCAGAATTTTGGTAATCATGTCCCTCCACAATTTCCTGTCATTTGTTGCTCTTAACAAATTTTGAATTTTTGTTATCTATCCTTGTTCTGGAAACTCAAGCTCATTGGATAGATTATGTTTTGTTTTCCTCTATCCCTCTTGTATTCAATCTGTCCAGTGACTAACAAATTTTTCAAGCTCTCTTTCTTTTTTATGTGCCTTAGAAATTAAAACTATCTCTTTCTGATGTTAAGTACAAGAGTCCTTTTTGTTTCCCTTTTCTCAAAAACTTTGTCAATGCCCATATGTTTGGTTCATTGTATTCTTAGCACTGTTCTGTAGAACCACATTTTTGTTGCTTTCAAGTCTCTTCTTTGTCTGTGAGAAGATTGTCCAGCATTCACTACCATATGGAAGGACTGATATTACATAACAGTTCAGTACTCTTTTCTTTGTTTCTAATGAAATCTTTCTGTTTGCTTAGCCTTTGGAAGGCTTCTTTCACTATCCCAATGTGCCTATGGGTTTCAGTGTTGCACTTTCCATCCTTCCTAAATATTGTATTTATTATTTTACTAGTTTGATCCTAATCATTTGGGAGCTTATGAAAAGTATATTTTTTTAAACAACTATATTTTTTGTAGTTTATATAATTCTAATCAAGGAGACTAGATTGTGAATAGCCAGAAATGAATAGAAATGTTGTTGTACAGTCATTAAATATATAATGTAAATGAACTACAAATGATTTTACTATTGAAAATAAATTGCAAATGATTTTACTATAGCAAAGCACTGAAAATCAAGAAGAAAGGGATCCTTAGTGGTTAGAAATTAATGCAAATGTTACTGATAGAGCTCTTATATGCATAATTTATTTAATTTAGCTTTGAACATTGGTCTAGTGCTCCTGCTATACATTTAGAGATTATTGATAAAATCCCCAAAAGAATCTGCAATGTTATTGGTCTTAACTGGGCATCTCACTTTCAGTCACTTTCCTACTCCTGTAATGTAGTTTCCCTGTGCCTTTTCTATAAATACTTTTATAGAAGTTGTTCTGATGAGCTTTCCTCTATTGTACCTAGACGTTATGAATTTACATGCAGTACTAGATTGGCAGTAAGGTCTCACAATTTTACAGTTGAAATGTCTAGATGTAACCATAAGTTCTGTGCTAACAGTTTCTTCTATCACACTTCCCATTTGTGAAAATCTCTTTCGGCTTCTTGCTTCTCAGTCAACTTTGATCTTCAAAAATTTAAATGTCAATTGTTATCTTAATTCTTGTTCTTTTATTATCCTCTCTCTTTAATAGTATTTTTTTCTTCTCTCTAACATTCAATAATAACCCTTTGTATCTTAGTAGCTTTATTGTCTTGCTTGGGATGAAATGATTAAAATATATGGCAGTTTCAGTGCTTATTTTTTTATTTTAAAATTTTTTAATTTTTTTTATTAAATCATGGTAACCTATTCAGGTGTTCCATCTTGATAGTTCTGATCACAACAGAAGCTTATTTGTGTCTGCTCATAATAATTGCAAATGTGTCCTCAAAGAGGCAAAGTCTTTGTTTGCTGATAAAATGAGGCACTGTATAGTTTGGCTCTTGTGACTTCAAGTTGCTCTTTTACGCCTCCTCTCTTCACTCAATTTCAGGTTTTAACATCTGTTGATAAAACAGAATGTCTGGCTCATAAATCTTTTTCAAATTCTACTGTTGACTCATCTGAAGGATCTTTGCCTAACTTTCCACTTTCCCTATTGAGTGATATACATATGACTCCATCCATAGTTTCTGCTATCACCTCTAAACTTGAAAAATATGTGGACTTGATGGCATCCCTGCCATAGTCCTTAAAAATGTGCTCCTGAACCAGCTCCTGTCCTCTTTAAACTCTACAATAAGTGCCTTGCTGCTTCTTGATTTCCTGCTTGTTGAAAATCCTCTTCTGTAGTTTCAGTCTTTAAGAATTTAGCCAAATCATCTGATCCTTCCAACTATTAGCCTTCTACTTCCTTTTGGCAAAGTACTATAGCCTCTATTCAACTCTGAATTGGTTAAGCATCTCACCTCACAGGGACTCCTTTCAGATAAGCAGTATGGCTTTCACTTCTCTAGGTCAACTGCTGATGTATTAACAATTATTGCTAAAAGAGTCTATCAAGCTTTAGATAAGAATGGTGAAACTTGGGCTGTTGCTTTGGATATCATAAAGGCATTTGACAGTTTAACATACTGGTCTTCTTCACAAGATGAAAAGCTATGATATTTCTGGACAAATTTTTCAAATGATTCAATCTTTCCTATTGAATCATAAAATGAAAGTTAATGGCTTGAATGGCTACTCTGCTAGATCTTTTTAGATTAATGAAAGAATCCCCCAGGGCTCTATCTAGACTTGAACCTACGTTGTTACTAATTTTCATCAATGACCTTCCTGATGGCATCAGTTCTTATCTCAATATCTATTCTGATGATAACTATTTACTCTTATCTTAATAGTAAGTTTGATAGGTTTGATAAGGTCAAATTGGCAGGTGATCTAAAAAATGACCTACATTCTAATGTTAACTGGGGCAAGGAACGGCTTGTTAATTGTAACACCCCTAAAATGAAACTGTTCTCTATTAATCACCTAAGGAACCCTTTCTGTCTTCCATTAGCACGGCTGATGCTAACCTCAAAGAGAGTGACTCATTGCATCTTCTTGGACTAACATTTTTTGCCGACATAATGTAGAAAGATTATGTTGAATCAATTGCTAGGTTTGCTGCTAGAAAAGTTGGTTCTCTATGTCATGCTAGACAATTTTTCTAGCTTGAATTTATCTTACATATTTACAAATCTACCATTTATCTATGCTTAGAATATTACTGTCATATATGATCTAGAGCTCCTGCTATATATTTAGAGATCCTTGATAAAATCCAAACTTACTATTAAGATAGGAGTAAACAGTAAAGCTTTCATTTCTCTACGTCAATGAGTTAACAGTTATTACTAAATTTGTCTATCAAGCTTTAGATAAGAATGCTGAGGTTTGGGCTGTGGCTTTTGATACCTCAAAGGCAGGGTTTGGAATGCTGGCCTTCACCACAAGCACAAGGGATATGGTGTCTCTGGATGAATATTTGACTTAATCCAATCATTCTTAACAAATCGTGTCATGGAAATTGTATTGAACAACCACACATCTAGATCATTTCACATTAAGGTGGGGCTCTTAGAGCTCTATCCTTGGACCCACATTATTTCTTAGCTTTCCCAATGTCATCAGTCCCCAACTAGACATTTACTATTTACTCCTGTCTTAACAGTAAGTCTGATAGGTCCAGTAAAGTAGAACTGACAGCTGCTCTTGAAAATGACCTCCAATAAGTTGTTAACTGGGGCAAGGAATGGCTTGTAAATTTTAATGCTTTCAAAACTGCTATCTTTTAATCATCATAGAGAACCATTTTTGACTTACATCAATGTGGCTGATGCTAACCTTCAGGAGAGCAACATTGCACCTACTTGGTCTCCCGTTTTCCACTGATGTGAACTAGAGTGATTATATTGAATCACTTGCTAGGCCTTCTACTAGGAAAGTTGGTTCACTGTGTTATGCTAGACAATTTTTCACACCAGAATCCATCTTACACTTTTATAAATCTACCATTCATCTGTGCATTGAATATTGCTTTGATATCTCTGTATGGTGCTCAAGATTCTTGACAAAATCTAAAGAAGGGTCTCTAATGTTTTGGTCCTAACCTGGCATCTTGATTTCAGTGACTTTCCCACTGATGTGACATGACTTTCTTCCTTCCATTTTTACTATAAATATTTTCAAGGCTATTTTTCTCATGAGCTTTTCTCCTTGTTTCCTAGTGAATTTAAGTGTACTACTAGATTTGCAACTAAGTTTCATCATTTAACTGTTGAAATATCTAGATATAACTGTAATTCTAATAGCTTCTTTTCTCAAAACTTCTCGCCTATACAAAATGTCTTTTGGTTTCTTACTTCTTTGCCATCTGAGATCTTCAGAAATTTAAATGCAACATCAATTACCATCTTCTGTCTTTCTAAATCCTGTCCTTTTATTGTCCTTTCTCCTCACTAAAGTCTTATTCTCTTTCACTCTCAGTAACCCCTTGTATCTTGCTTTGAGTGAAATGATTAAAAAAAAAAAACATGACATGCTATGCTGTAACCCAAAAGTTTAATTTTCAATTCATCTGACTAAGAAATATTCTTCAAACATTATTAGTCTTCTCAAAATGCTCATTACAATATAGCTTACAAGTATCTCATTTTTCCCTCTTAGGATTGTCAGCAAGAGCAAGCTAAATTTTGTAAATCCTAATAGTCATATTATATTATGCTAATTTACATTTGCATATTCATAAATTTTTCATATAGAAATTTATGTATAAATTCTGTTTGCATTTCTGGGATGAGGAGTTATCATTATTTACACTTTCTACATTCAGACTATTGTCATTATCTTTGTTATTGTTATCATATTTAGGCTGTTGTACCCTCCATTCTTCAGCAGATATATCTATTTATTCATATCTGTCTATCTCTTTATTCATATCTATCTTTCTATATATGTATTACTATTCATTATCTACAGTAGGGCAAATAGGACCCAAAAACTAGGTAGGTGTTCAATCTCCTATTATCGCAAACACACCCACACAACTACTGTGATTCACTTGCAGCCTGGTCAGCCATCTTGGACTCCAAGGCCCACACTATAGCTGTGGACTATTGTAAAAGCAAAAGAGGTTTCACTTTATTTAAGCTTCAGAAATTTTTGATGAAACTTAAATAAAAACAAAACACGTTAAATTTATAAAAGTTTCCTATTTTTTCCTTATTCAATCATATATATATATATATATATACACACACATTATATACTTATTCCTAGAAAGTGTCTATATGTATTTAAGTTGCTATCTCTGTTTTATAATTTTCTTAAACAGGGAAATTAATAACAACTGGCCTAGATTGAGAAGTCCTACTAAGGAAAAATTGTGCTTCATTTAGCAGGACTTCTCAATCTAGGCCAGTTGTTATTAATTTCACTGTTTAACCATTAAAATTAACCTTTATAGGAATAAGAAATAATGTTGGATAAAAAAAAATCTTAAAAAATATTATATATGCAAATATACATATATATATATATATATATATATATATAATAAAAAGCTTAAACACTAATATTCCATGGAATATTAGTGTTTAAGCCTTTTTTATTATATCCTTACTCTGTCCTAGACATTGAGTTCTACCTGAATTCTTCCTCTTGAAAATTTTTTTTTTTTTTTTTTTTTTAAAATATACATGTATGGGTATTTATATATTTTGCATATGTATGTATATTTTCCACTAATATTATCTATCTATCTATCTATCTATATCTATCTATCTATCTATCTATCTATATCTATATATATATATATATATATATATATATATATATATATTTTGCTTCATTCAGAATTTTTATTTTTCAGATGCTGCTGCTTTTGTAACATAGTAACAGTAAAAGATGCTTTTTGTAACATTGTAACATATTTTTATAATGTAGTAATAGTAAAATATACTGTTTTTGTAATATGGTAACATGTTTTTATAACATGGTAACAATAAAAAAAGCTGATTTTGTAACATAGTAACATGTTTTTGCAATATAGTAACAGTAAAAGATACTGTTTTTGTAACATAGTTACATGTTTTTATAACATGGTAACAGTAAAAGATGCTGTTTTTGTAACAGAAAAATTTCTTTGATATCATTTAACTTCTTTTTGAGAAAGGCTTTCTCCATTTATAAGAAAATTTAAAATATCTTTAATTTATAATATGCACACACACATATACATATATATATATCTTATTGATTATATAATTGATTATATTTGTTGAGGTACATTTTTTTTCCCTTTGAAAATATAAAGTAAAAACTGTCATATTATTCATTTATATTCCTCAGGGTGAATGTCCTTGGGAAGGTAACACATTATGCTTAAATGACAGCTCAGAAGTAATCACCTCTGGAGTTTCAGATAAAGATAAAAAACTGATTGTAGAGCTGCATAATGAGTTCAGATCAAAAGCAAATCCACCAGCAGCCGATCTGATGGTCTTGGTATGTACAACAGACATACTTAAATTGTTTTTTTGATTTCTCTTTTTGAAAGTATGTAACTTTACAGGTAATTTTTTGTGTAGTATAGAAAAACAGCCAGATAGATATGAACAGATTGAGATAGATAGATAGATAGATAGATAGATAGATACATAGATAGATAGATAGATAGATATGACATAGAAAACAACACTGCATAGTGATGGTAAGTTTCATTCCTCAATGTGATCCTCTGATCTTGCAAATTTTAAACATTAGAGTCATCTTCATTCCTGCTTAAATCTCTTGAAATCAATTGGATTCTAAACAGAAATCAAAATAAAAAAATAATAAAAAATATATTGATTGGACCAACCCTTTCAGAGCAACCCAAGTAAAACAGGTGTTCCTATATTTTATATGCACATTTTCCCTCTGTTGTATTGTTAGTAGTAATTGTCTTTTAACTAACCAACTGGTAACATTAACTGATTGATTTTTCTTTTACAGCTTAAAAATCTTTTGTTTACTGATACAAGTCCTACTAATTAACCTATAATTGGAGGGATAATAAAGGTAGAGTCATACCTTTCCCAAGGGTATTTGTGCATAAGGGAACATAACGAAGCCAACTGGAATTGGAACTCGGCTCTCCGACTTCCAATTCGAGGCCATTATCCATTAGTGTCATGGATTACATCTGTTTGGCACTTTTTTTTTTTTAAGCGTTTCACCCCAAGCAAGGCGTGAAGCAAGGGGTTACAGAAAATTTGGAGCAAGATCAGATAGGAGTGATAGAAGAAAGGATGAGGAGAAGGGTAGTGGATAGATCAAGGCAACTGGAGATGTGATTGACATTACATTTGAATAGCTGGAGATTATAGCTCTCAGGGAAACTGGAATAGGGAAGGGAGTTCCACAGGCAAGATGTGCGAGACATGAAGCTATTGGAGTAGTAGAGACGCCTACATTTAGGAGTTTCGACAGTGAAGGTGTGAGAGCGGGATGCCAGCCTCGTAGGGCGCTTCAACTCATGAAGTCTGGGAACCAGTGAATGCAGCTCCTCGGAGCAGTTGCCATGAAAGTATTTGTAAAACAGACAGAGAGAGGTAACGGCGCATCTGTGAGAAAGTGACTGTTGACAAGATGCCAGATCAGGGCCAATTATATTGCATATCTGCCTCTGGAGCCTATCAAGAACCCCGAGGCAAAAAGAAGGGGCTCCAGACCATATATGGCAGCAATACTCCATGCAAGGGTGAATTGTTGATTTGTAGATCTGGAGGATCGATTCCGGGGAGAAAAATTTCCTGGCACAGAATTATTATTATTTATTATTATTTACCAGTTGTTTCAACATGATATAGCCATAAGCCCTTATGGCTATATCATGTTGAAACACTATTCGGTGATCATACATGAACCAGTGTTTCAACATGATATAGTCATAAGCTCAACTGGTAAAAGTTAGGCTTTTCATTTTTCAATAAGAAAATGTGCAAGTGCTTAAGAGCAATTAAAATAGAAATGTTTCTAATGCATAATAAAAAGGCCAAACAATAAAAATCAATTCAATATGATTACTCCTGACTTATAACTATTTGTAATTGATTTCTTTTTTTTAATTGGTTTGTTTGTTTATAGACTTGGGATGACAAAATTGCTAAGGTAGCACAGAAACTGGCCAGCCAATGTAGATTAGATCATGATAAGGACAGGCGTGTATCTGGTAAGAAAACAGTTTTATTTCATTTCTGAATGATCTTTGTATTCCTTTGTTTTGAAATTACAGTACTTTATTGTAATTTAAAAACAATCTTGTAGATACAGTATATTTTAATCAATCTTTTCAAGAAGTATTCTATTGATTTCAAAAAAAAATTTTCATTTTATTAAATATTAGTTAGGACTAAATAGAGACTTTGAGGTATTATGGTGCCTGTAGTAAGAATGGTAAGTAAGAATGTGTTGTTTTGGTGTAAGGAATACTGTGGTATGTTTGGATTAGTAATCGTAGCTAGTTAAGTTTAAGACAGATTGAAGACCAGCCTTTCCCTACCCGCCCCCCTTTTGGCCTTGTGCCACATTTTTGTCTTATAACAAAATAAATATTACTTTTCTTTATGGTACCTAGAATTTATGTATTTTAGCAGCATGGTTCCATCATTTTACAGTTGAAATGGCTAGATATAACTTTAAGTTCTATGCTGAAAGTTTCTTCTATTACACTTTTCACTTGTGGAACTCTTTTCCAGCTTCTAGCTTTCCAGGCAACTTTAATCTTCAAACATTTAAATGCAATATCAATCGTCATCTTTAGTCTTCTTAATTTTTGTTCTATTATTGTTCTCGCCTTAATAGTTTTTTTCTCATATTCTCAGTAACACTCAGTAACCCCTTGCATCTTAGTGGCTTTATTGTCTTGCTTGGGGTAAAATTAAAAAAACAAAAATTAAATATGAAAATAAAACAAATAAATACATAAATTTTCAGATAAAAGATCTAATTAAATTTAAATATATCATGAACTTACTCAGGTACAAAGTAATGCCTAACTATATCACCTATCTGCTGTGTTAGGTGATATAGTTAAGCATTTTCTACTGACTTGTAGTTGAGACCAGTATAGTTGAGAGAGAACTAAGGTTACAAAGTTGAAATATTACAGTTACCAAAAGATGATAAATATATGCAGATTAGACAGAGTTAAAATAACAGTAGCAAATGAATATTACTGCTATTATTTGAGTAAAAACTCTGTCTTTGGCAGAGTAACTGTAGTAATAACTTAACAAGAATTCATGGTAGGTTTAAGTATAGATCAGGTTTGTGTAGATAAAGCTAGAAAGAGTTCACTAGTAGGTCAGTTCTTGGTAGAGCCAATGTAAAAACCTGATTAGATTTTATGATATGTTCAAGTATAGGTCAGGTTTGTGTAGATGAAATTAGAAAGGGTTAACTAATAGATCATTTGTTGGTCAGGTTGATAAAGTTATTGAAGTCTCACTTGTAAGTCAGCTGAATTTAGATGAAATTGTCGGTTGATAAAAACACTGACCAAAATAACTGTAATTGAAAAAATCTAATGAAGGTGAAGGATGCCAATTTGTCAGTTCATGAAAATATATGATTGAACTTTTCCAAATTTAATTAATACCTTGTATTTGGTATCAAATAAAATAGTTTTGATTAAATATATATTTTTCTCTAAGCTATCAATTAATTTTAGTGCACTTATCCAAGTATTTCTTCCACTTGTCAAAACAGGCTACAAAATATTTACAGAAAAAAAAGGACTTAGCTATGTCAGTTTTCAAGTCTGAGAGTTTGCTTTCCTGTCTAAAAGAAAACAGTTCTTTCCTTTTTCTTTCTTGCTTTTCTTTCTCACAATCGTTATCTATCATGGGGTAGGTCAACTTCCTCTTTTCTACAGTTATAACCTTTGTGGAATTCTCTTGTGCTGACAGACTGCCTTCTTCAAAAATGGTTTGCAGGTGATTACCGTTACTCATAGCATTTGTTGTCCCTGGCACTTCTCTTTTCGTTGATCAATTTTTGATTCTCCTCAGGTAATTGAAATTAGTGAACCCCAAATAAAGTCCACTCTCAGTCACTTGCTATAACAACCCTAACTCAGCCAACTGGAATAATAATAATAATAATAATAATAATAGTAATAATAATAATAATAAAGAAGAAGAAGAAGAATACAAAGCTTCCAAAGTAGTAAGGAAAATGAAAAGTTAAATAGTCAATTCTTCTTCAAGAATGGAAACAGTAATAAAATCAATTGCATTGTTTTAAGAGACAGGAGGCTCTTGGTTGACTTTTGTTAACAAAAACAGAAAAATGAACACAAGTTTGAAATAAATTTAAATCAACATATGCCCTATCGGAAAAGCCATGGATACACACACCAAAATGTTAATCATCAAGTAAATGCTTACAGATTCAAATATAAATGACCAATAATTACCTATTCTTGTACCTATTAAATACGTATAGATTAGAATATAAATAGACAATATTTACATATCACTGAATCAAGTAAATATTTACAGACTCAAATATAAATGGTCAATATTTACTTATCCTTGAACTAAGTAAATTCATACAGACTCAAATTATATAAAAAAATGATTTCAACATTAAATAACTAAACAAGAGTTGATATGTTGTAAAATCCACCAAGCCAATGCAGCTCAAGTGAATATAAGGCAGCAAGCAGCAATTATCAAAAGTGGGTGTATAGTTTGAAATATGACAAAGCCACTATAGTATTCAAAATAGAAATCTACAACTAAAAATGTTTTTAAATTTCTTTGTTTTGTAATAATGCCTTTATTTTCTTTAGGATATGGAGTCCACATTGGTCAAAATATAGCAACTGGTTATTCTGGCTGGAGTCAAACAATAAGTGCATGGTATTCAGAAAAGAAAAAATTCACATTTGGTGCTGCAAATGCAATGAATAAAGTTGGACATTTCACACAGGTAAGGCCTTTTTTTCACAAAAGAAAGGTTTTTTTTTCACTAAGGTAAGGACTTTTTTTTCACAAAAGTAAAGCCTTTTTTCACACAAGTAAGGACTTTTTTTTCCCACAAAACTAAGGATTTTTTCACTCAGGTAAGGACTTTTTTTTCACAAAAGTAAAGCCTTTTTTCACACAAGTAAGGACTTTTTTTTTCACAAAACTAAGGATTTTTTCACTAAGGTAAGGACTTTTTTCACAAAACTAAGGATGTGTTCACACGGGTAAAAACTTTTTTTCACATAAGGTCTTTTTTCATTCAGGTAAGGACTCTTTTTTTTCACTAAACATTGATTGACAAGAATATCACCAACATCAAAATATTTTGAAATATTTCTTGTAATTTTGTTGCATTTAATAAAGAAAACAATTGAATTTTTAAGACAGTCAATTTAAATATATTTATCTATTTGTATACTTCTTTGTAATTGTGTTTCTTCAGAATTTAGGTAATCGTGGTTTTGCAGTTTACTTTTCTTTTAATATTTGTAAACAGTATCTCCATGACTGTTCTTGGGAAAGATAATAGAGCTGTTTCCCATTGGTTCCTCTATGATTTTGAATTCTGTGTCTTCCCTCTCCTAGGCTGGTTGATGATAAAGAATAAAAAGACCCAGTTTACTCGGCTATTTTATCTATAGCTGGAAGCATATTAACAGAGGATAGAAAGTGTGACAGAAATACACATTGGGATAGTGAAAAAATGCCTTAAAAAACAGAAAAATATTGTTAGAAACGTATTAAAAGTATTAAAAAACAGAAAAATATTGTTAGAAACGAGTACTGAACTGTTATGTAATATCAATCTTCCTATATGGTGAGAATGCTGGACAATCTCCTCACAGATGAAGAAGAGACTTGAGGCAACAGAAATGTGGTTCTACAGAAAGATGCTCAGAATACCATGGACTAAACATGTGAGCAATGACAAAGTTTTAGAGGTAATGGCAACAAAAAAGACACTTATACTTAACATCAAAAAAAGATAGTTAAAATTTCTGGAGCACATTAATAAGGAAAGAGAGCTTGGAACATTTGATGATCACAAGACAGATTAAAAGTAAGAGAGCCATAGAAAAGCAACAAAAGGGTGACAGAGCAGGCATTGTGAGAGATGGCAGAGAGACAAAATTTATTATTTATTAGGGAGCTTCTCTTAACATCCACTAGGTGACATTGTATAAAGCAGGGTAAAAGAAAATCACTAAAACCTCTCCTTTTTCTCTCTTCAATTAGACGATGCCATAGTGACAAGATATGTCTCATTTCCACTGTAGAGAACCTAATCCACATGTTGCATTTTAAACCATTCAGAAAAATTGCATGTAACCACAATAACATCTCAACTACAGCTAATCACATAAATATATAATTCTCTCCTTTTCTGAGCTATGTCACCTTATTCTGTATATAAATATATAAAATAAAATGTATGTTCAATTCATTTATTTTGAAAATTTTAAGACATTCAACCAAATTACAATTGGTAACTATTTTCCATTCTAAATCTATCCATTTTCTCTTAACTATGACCAAAACATATCAGACTGAGTTTGTTAATCTTGGGAGGACAACTTATCTATGAGAAGGACAACTTTGAATTCAAAAACCATCTTGAAGAAAGACAAACTCCATTAGGGGATCACATCTAAGACATTCCCATTACTGCTGTTGTACATGCAGTACATATGGTACCCCAATGACCCTAAAATGGTTATATGGGTTTTTACCATTTATTCAATGTTGTAGGCTTCTAATGTGCTTGTAGGAACATCTGTCTTCATATCTCCCATGCACACACTATCTTTATTTTTTATTTAGATTTTTAATACTATTGTTCACACAATAAAAGGTCCAAGAGCTACTCAAAGTAGAGGCTTACTGAATGAGATTGTTGTTAGGGCATACAAGGAAGGAGAACAGAGGTGCATATTATGAGGATATGTAGGACAGATAATGGCTGATGTTAAATGTGAAGAGGTTAAGATTATAGTGATTTGGGAAGAATCATCTTAGGAATATATTCCATGATGTAACAGTTTTGGAAAAAAGCTGCTTGAGTAGAACTTCCTCTTTACCAATGGAATATGAAGGGAATGAGAATGAGCTGACTTTATGCGGCATGGTGGGTCCTCACTGTGAAGGTCTAGACTGGTGAAACTAAGGAATTTAGCACACCATGTAAATAGCAATCAAGTAGCAAGAGGTTAGTGATGTTTCATCTGTAGGAAAGTGGCTGTAGGGTGGAAAATAATTCTCCACCTACAAGGCCACATAAATGCTTCTGAACTTTGTTGAGGCTGGAATGTGAGGATTGGTTATCTCCAGCCCAGATACGGCAGCAATTCGCAATTTTTTTGGTCTGATCTTGCTCTTGTTAAGATAGAGCATAGCAAAAGGAGTCAGTTACTTTCTGGCATGGTATAAGGGGCCCTTTCTCCAGCATCTTTAGCAATGTATCATATATATATATTTATATATATGAAGTCCATTTTAGATCAGCAGCAATAAACATTTCAATAAACATTCCAGTCAAGGTACCACATTGGGAATACAGCCATTTACCATAACTGGATAAAAACTCAGGTTTATTCTGTTATGATGAAATGTTACTATATTTACAAAAACAAGTTCCATGAGATAATGATGTCATTTTATTACAACCATGAAGTTAGAAAACAGCTAGAAAACTATACCATTACAAACTGATGGAAGAACTACTCACACATCTAGTGCAACCATAGAACGTGTTTTGGCTAAAAGTTTAGCAAATCAAATTTATTTTCCATGATAGACAAATTGTAAATAAATGCTTGCAAGTCATCTGCAAAATTTTACTGATATCACCTGACTATGAATTGATCATTATTTATTCTCTTTCAGATTTTGTATGAGAAGACATCGCGTGTTGGGTGTGGTTTTGCCAAATGTACACGAGGCGTTTTCTATGTGTGCAATTATGCCAGTGGGTATGTTATATTATTTAGTCTTTTACTTCCAGCGTGAAAAATGATGATAACTCATTTTGATAGATTTCCATCTGCAAATAAATAAAGATTGATAAAAATAATAAATAGAACTTGTTTGGAGGTTGAAGTAACTGATTAAGTATTTCCCATCATCCTCATCAAAGGTCAGAGTTTAAGCCCAGGTAAAAGACAAGAATTTGAATGCTGATTTTCAAAAGAAACAAGCTCTTCTCATTTAGAAAACTGATGCAACACACTCTTCCAACCAGTCATTTTTGATGCTATATCAGATATTTTTTATTAAAATGTGTTTAGCAGTTTTCCATTAAAAAATGTCTATCATTTTTACAAGAAGTGTTTTGCATTTTTCCAAGAAAAAAGTGTTTAGCAATTTTTCAATAACTAGAATTTTTTTTTGCAGCATGCTAATGTGTGTTAAAATCCTCATGGTATTTTGTATTGTTGAAATTATCACTAACATTTTTTGCCTCTTTCTGGTGAATAGCAGCAGTTTCTTTGTAGTTTTCAATCCCCTTAAAACTTCCTTATTTTTCACATACTCTGTCTATAGTATTCTTAGCAATAATCTGTGGAACCATGTCTTTGTTGTTACAAGTCACCTTGTGCTTACCACTGAGTTGAATCATCCTCGTTTCCTCCATGTTTCACTTGGACAGATCTTTGGGAAAAAGCTGTTTGAGTAGAAATTTCCTCTTTGTGGAACAGACTCCTGTATTTTTGCTTCCTTGAACACTTCAATCTTGACCTATTCAAGTCAAGGGCCTATGATTATCTATCCTCCTTATTCTCATGATCTCTATATTTGATCACCCTTTTCTTCAATTCATATCACACAGCTCATTCATCATTACCATTTAGACTCTAACCCTCTACCGTGAGTTGTCCTTGAGCCTTGTATTAGCTGAAGTTTAGTTAAAAAAATTTAGCTTTCCTAATATTTCAAGTAGTTTGTGTTGTATTATGTTGTATAATCTATGAAATATAGATATACAGGTGCAATGGATAAATTGTCGTCTAAATGAAAATGAGGCAACTTCAGAATCTCATGCAACTCTTCTGGATGGTCTCCTTGATTAAGTTTGTGAATGCTACCATAATCATTGCCTTCAGTTCATCTTTGGTGTTACAAGGAGCTTTGTTGGCCTTTTGCTCAACTGTGCCCCACACATAATAATCAAGGGGGTTGCAGTCAGGTGAGTTAGGTGGCCAGATGTAAGGGGTGATATAATTTTAGAAATTGTCTGACAGCCATGAATGGGTTCTCCTGCTTGTGTAGCATGGTGCAGGGTCCTGTTGGCAGACATAGGGTCTTCCAGCAGCCACCCTCTTGATCCTGGGCAGCACTACCTTCTCAAGGCACCAGCAAATTTGGGAGTTCTTTTCTTATCAGAATGATCAGAGTGAGTTTTTCGAGCTGCTGTACCTTCATAATGACCATTAGACTCATTCAACTCTTTCTGAATCCTCTGCACTGTCCTCAGATTGACACCCAAGCACTCTGAAATGTTTGTATTGGAGTTTCCAGTGAGAATGCTAAGTAGTATAGCATGTCATTTCCAAATTTCTGTCCAAGTGTATTGTGTCATGGTGCCCTTTTTCTTGCCCAGCTGACCCTACTATACTGTGCAGTCGGTAAAATCAAAAACGAGTAATGTGTATGTGCAAAATTAAAAATATAAAATGGAGACAATTTATCCATCGCACTCTGTAGATTTTTCTGTATTTGTATAGCACACTCTGTTAGCATTCAAATCATAATATAATTTCCATTTTCAGTGTTTTGAACAAAGTCATACTCCTCTTGCTCTATTTCTAGTCTAATTATATTATGAGCTCTATTCATGAGTACTTATGTGGCTCTTCAAGCTGTCCAATGGAATTTATATGTATTTTCACTTGGTTTCTTTGACAGTGCTAGAAGACTGAGACATTGAGGGCTTCCAGTATTTCACCACTGTTGTATATTACACTGATCATTTCACTAAGCTAATCAATCCCCAAATCATTTACGGTTGTCAGCATTTCTGTTGCAGTCTCAATCGATCCTGCTGCTTTGTTTGTTTTCATCTTGACCAGTTCTGATCTAACCCAAAATGTCAATACTATGGGTCCTTCCATGTTTTATATATTGTAAGTTTCTCTCTTCAGTTGTTATAGAAGAGCTCTCCAATAAATGTCAAATTATTTAAGTTGAAATTTTAATTGAGAAAGAAAAATCAGACTAACATGCAAACAAATTCTTCCTTGATTTTATAAACAATTTCTAACCAGTTTTTCATGCGTTTTTTAGGCAACTGAATTATGCATTCAAACATCCTTACACAGAAGGAGAGAGCTGTGGTCAGTGTCCAAAAACATGCAAAAATGGACTCTGTGGTAAAACTTAAAAACATTTTATAAATTTTTATTGTATATTAAGTAATGTTATCATCTTGTAATCATCTTCCACTGATATATTTACCCAAGTATGATAATATTATATAATGTTAAATTGTATTTGAATAATATAATTTTTTATTTCACCCCAAACAAGGCAATAAAGCCACTAGGACATAAGGGGTTACTGAATGTTAGAGAATATAAGAAAGAAAAACTATTAAAGAGAGAGGACAATAAAAGAAGAAGAATTAAGAAGACAGAAGATAACAACTGACATTACATCTAAATTTTTGAAGTTTTCAAAGTTGACTGGGAAGTAAGAAGCCAGAAGAGATTTCCACCAGTAAGAAGTACAAGAGAAGAAACTGTTAGCATAGAACTTATGGTTACACCTAGCCAATTCAACTGTAAAATGACGAGACCTATCAGCCAATCTAGTACTGTGCTTAAATTCATAAAGTCTAGGTATCATAGCAGAAAGTTCATCAGAGCAATTACCATGAAATTCAATGTTATTCAAAGTTATATATAAATTTAAGATGTTATTCAGTATAATGGATCATTATCAAAATAAATAATTTTATTGAAAATGATAAGAATATTTTTATTCATAAGTAGTTTTATATTTGGATTCATTACTCAAAATAAATATATCTTTATTGAAAGTCTAAGTACTTTGATTCAAATTTATATTTTTATCTAAAATATAAGTAGTTTTGATAAATATGTACATGAGACAGAACCTGGGACACCTTCTTTGGGTCTGTCACTGGATCTAACCAACGCCTTTTATGTGCCATGTGTCCTTGAGGACATCTGGTATGAACCTGAGTATTTGTCCCTGGGACAAGCACAACTGGTCGCGACCAAAAAAAGAGCCCGTATTTGCTTAGCATGTAAAGCTACTGCAGTTGAAATGAGGGAGAGAAAAAAAGCACTTACCGCTCTGACGTAATCCATCCTCGGCCAGATAATGTAAAAGAATGAGGGGGGACTGGCATCGCATTTTTATCCAATAACGATGCAATGCATTATGGGACATGGACGCAATGCATTATGGGACATGGACGCAATGAATTATGGGATCACAGGAAGACGCAAGGGATTATGGGTACATGAACAACTATAAAAACAACTACTTTTTTCCAAGTCGGCGAGTTCTTCGAGGGACGTTCACGGTTGACGGCTAGAACGGGCAGTTAGTGTGATTTGGAGACAGAACTCAGGAAGGAACGACTCAAGTTTGAAATACCAGCTGGGAGAGCTTGAATTTACTTATTTCGGCATATTGATTCTTCAAAATGGAAGGCAAGGTCTTTGACGTCCATTTGATTCCAGAATTCAGCGGCGCCCCAACGGATATGCCCATTGTTGAATGGATAGAAAATGTGGAATTGGTCTGCGAACTTTGTGCCATGGACAAGATCGAGCGCATCTTGCCTTTACGACTTCGAGGCGGTGCCCTCGCTGTATATAGACAACTCAGTGGAGAGCAGAGGGCAGACGCGGAACAAATTAAACGGGCCCTTATGACTGCATACGCGACTGACAAATTTAATGCGTTCGACCAATTTATGGGACGGCGTCTTCGCCCAGGGGAAACTGTGGATGAATTCCTGGCTGAAATGCATCGTTTGGCGCGGCTAGTAGGAGAACCGCTACCTGATCGGTGGATGGCATGTGCATTTGTGTCAGGACTGCCACATCATGTTAGGCAGCTTCTCAAAGCTTCTTCCAGGATGGACGACATGAATCTAGAACAGATTCTGACCCGAGCAAGGGCTATTATGACGGATGACGAAGGGTGCCAGGTATTGGCTGCCGCATCCGTAGAGCCAACGCGCTCAGAAGCTGAGGTTCCCCTGCCAAACCTGTTAGCAGAACGATTACCTGCTACAAGTGCTCTGGACCCAACCATATGGCGAAGAATTGTACACAAGGACGTCAGGAGAGGTCAAACAGAACGCAGAGGTCTGGTCGCGACAAGCGGTGTTTTCGATGCAACGGCATTGGACACATTTCCTCAGAATGCCAGGGAAACGCCCAAGGGGAGAAGGCGTCAGCGCCAGCCTTCTCCCGAGCAAGTAAAAACCGGAAGTTACCCACCGTACAAGTATTTGTAGATGGAGTAGAGTGCACAGCTCTAGTGGATTCGGGATGCTCACAGACGTTGGTGAGCAAGACTGTGTGCGCTGCTGGAAGCAGGAAGAATCGTGCTGGAAGCAGGAAGAGGTGTTGACTGCCGACGGAAGACCCTGAAGTGCCGTGGATACGGTAAAATTAAGTTGGGCGTCGAGCATATTCAGCCCGTGACTGTTGAGGTTCTGGTCGTGGAAGGGCAGTTGCTAGGATTCGATCTTCTTCTCGGGATTGATGCAATCAAAGTGCTCGGAGGTGTTTACTTAACCGAATCAGGCGAAGCTCGTTTCGGAAACCTGAACACATGTGCCGCCATTGTTATCAACAAGCCTGACTTTAGAGTGACGTTTAACCCGAGCACAAAAACGTGGACTGCATTGTGGAAGTGGGCGAGTGGTTATTCACCAGCAAGTTGGTCAATAAAGTACAGGAGTACACAGTACCTGGCCACGTCCGGGATGCATACGATGAAGAACTAGCACGGTGGCAGCGAGACGGATGGCTACTGCCATATCCTGAGAAAGAGCTTGGCCCACCCAAGGGATTAATTCCCTTAATGGCGGTCGTACAAGAACACAAACAGAAGGTCCGACCGGTACTTGACTATCGGGAGTTGAACGGCTTTGTAGACGCATTCACGGCTGACGCAGAGGTGTGTGCGCAGAAATTACGAGAATGGCGACGACAAGGAGCTGACGTATCGCTGTTGGATTTGAGAAATGCGTACCTACAGATTCACATTGACAAATCGCTATGGCCGTTTCAAACAGTGGTCATTAAGGGCAAGCGGTTTTGCCTTACGCGTTTGGGTTTTGGCCTGAATGTGGCACCACTTGTCATGAAGTCAGTGATCGACATGATAACGTCCCAGGATCAGGACATTAAGAGTGCCACGTCGGCATACGTCGACGATATCTTCATAAATGAAGGCCTAGTTTCTGCAGCGCGCGTAAGACAGCACTTTGCAGATTACGGGCTAGTCTGTAAAGATCCGGAACGATTGAGAGACGGAACTAAGGTCCTGGGTCTGCAAGTCTGGGAAGAAAGCAACTCCCTTCGATGGAAGCGGGGAGGTCAAGTTCCAGAAATTGCTCAAAAGGTGACCCGCCGAAGCGTATTTTCCTTGTGCGGGAAACTTGTGGGTCATTTCCCTGTGTGCGGTTGGCTTAGGGTGGCAACTGCATTTATTAAGCGTTATGCAAGTACACTAACCAAAGGATGGGACGACGAGATAAAGGATGCCCCTCTTGGACGTATGCTGGAGGAAACAGTGGCCAGAGTGCGGGAATCAGATCTTGTCGGCGGAGACTGGTGTGTGAACGGCAATGAAATGACAGTTTGGGTGGATGCAAGCTCCGTGGCCACGGGAGTAGCACTAGAGGTGAATGGGAGCGTCGTGGAAGATGCTTGCTGGTTGCGTCCAACCAATGATGCCAAACACATTAATCTTGCTGAGCTTGATGCGGTGATCAAGGGCGTGAATCTTGCCCTGCAGTGGCAGGCACCAGTTATGCATGTGGTCACCGATTCAGCATGTGTGCATCGGTGGGTGTCTGACACCCTGACAGGAAGGACGCGCGTGAACACGAAGGCAGCGGGTGAAATGCTGATGAGGCGGCGCTTAGAGACACTGCGAGCTTTGGTGGAGGAGTACGCACTGACTATGACTGTGACGTTGGTGAAATCTTGTCAGAACCGCGCTGACAGCCTCACCAGAGTGCCGCAACGCTGGTTGGAGATGCACAAGAAAGGAGGAGAACCGGTGCAAGTGAGTTGTGTCACTGCAACGAGCCAGTTGAGCAAACGTCAGGTGACCCACATCCACCAGCAGAGTGGGCACCCAAACAAAAAAAAGAACAATGTACTTTGCTAGGACTGTAGATCCAACGGTGTCTAAGGAACTGGTAAAATCTGTCGTTAGAACCTGTGAAGCCTGCCAATCGATCGATCCAGCACCAGTGCATTGGAAGAAAGGAAATTTGAGTGTGAGAAAAAACTGGAGCAGGTTAGCAATGGACGTAACCCATTGCAATGGTAGCCATTTTCTTACGCTCATTGACTGTGGTCCCTCCCGTTTTGCAGTATGGCGGCCACTGAGACGGCAAGACTCTGCTGGTGTCATTCGTCAGCTAGAGACAGTCTTCTACGAACGAGGCCCGCCGACCGAAATACTGACTGACAATGACACCACGTTCACTTGCAGACAATTTAGGGAATTTGTAAACAGCTGGGGCGTGCATTTGAGGTTCCGGTGCGCTTATGTGCCATCTGGAAATGGCATTGTGGAACGCAACCACAGAAGCGTCAAAACCATAGCGGCCAGGAAAAATTGTTCAGTCTTGGAAGCGGTTTACTGGCATAACGTCACACCTAAGGACAACCTTTCACCTTCCACGGCACCGGCTGATGTACTGCACACATACCACGTCCGGGTGAGAGGCATCGACGCGACGCCCCCGCCTGAATCACAAATAACCGAAGGGGAATACAAGGAAGGGGACATTGTCTGGGTTAAGACTCCACGTGGTAAATGCACGACCAAATTTGGAACCGGACGTTTGACCGAGGTGGTGAGTCAGCAGTCAGTGCGGGTCGATGGAACGCCTCGTCATGTTAGAGACCTGCGCCCTTTTTTGGGCTCAAATCCCACAACTGACGAAGAAGACACGGAGGATAGTGACCAGCCAATATACATAGAGTTGGATTCAACAACCAATCACTCCGATAGCAGTAGTTTGCCAATAGATCGGGACGTGTCTAATGAGAGCTCCTCTGATGAAGAAGTTCAACCAATCCCCCTTCGGAGGAGCACCCGGAACAAAAGACCGTATCCTCACTGTCATCTGTGTGATCAGGAG